CGTTGTCTACTACGCCTATGTCGCATTTCCCTAAATCCTTCCTGCACAGATCGGCCCTACAATCCCTGCCACTCGACAGGAAGGTCATGTGTAATTACGGACAACCTTTTCCGCTCAAATTCAAATTGCAAGGTCATTGTGAAAGGTAGTTATTCTCGTTTGTGACTATCTCTGTCGTAACTCATGTAATTGCTGTATCCTATTGTAGAACGCAAGCAAAAGACGACCAAATTGAATACGGCTTTCAGCGTTTTAACAAACAGAACCACTCCGACTCCTTAAAACCCAGGAATATCAGTCGCCAGCTCTGTCCAACTTGACGTCCGTTCGAGTTTGGATCACAGGGGTATTCCTAGTGCGGCGTCCCAGAGACAGGTGCTTCGAACGTGTGGAAATTGAGTCATGAAGCAAAGCGTCATTTGCTGCTCACCGTCGCTCTTCAGCGGTGCAAACGCTCTTTGGCTGTGGATACATTGAATGCTTGAAACCAAAGTCGTTACTTTAACACTAACGAAGTCTCGTTGAGGGCTTGCCCGCCCAAGTGGTAGCAACCCCATCTAAGAGGAACTGGGGAAAAAGGTAAGCATACATCCAGTTCTTGGGGTTGTGCGGCGTAGTTCTGATATTTCTCTGTGGCTAGCTTGCCGTTGGGCGATAGAACGACGCGCTACCCCTGACGGCAATGAAGAAAAGGGCGAACATAGTTTCATAGGGTCAGCGTTAGTTGTGTCATTCGATGCGGATCCACATTGCTTACAGGCTTTCATGTAGCCTTCTTTCCTGATGGTGGGGAGCATACTCAAGATTGAAGGTACGCCTCCAAGCCACCAGTGGAGTGGAAACCTACACGGACGTCGCGGTTCACGGACAAATGCGTAGGGGGTGTGAGAAGGGAAAATGGGGGAGAACAGTGATCTTGGCTGAGACGGGGACTTCATTGGCAAAATGGGATGGCACATCACGATAGAATTGTAGCTGATGATCGTACCAAGTAGGATTTAGTCTCATACTGCTCATGTTACAGCCACTTCTTCAACCTTCCGGGTCTTCAGTCACCGTAGTTTAAGTTCTCTAGTACGTGGTCAATGAAGGAAAATGATGTCCTAGATAGAAGCCCGCTGCCGAGGAGACTTGTCTGTGCTAAGTGGCGAACTCATGCCACTGCTGGAGCTCGAATTGTACTCACCCTCTCCCTCGCACTCCCTCGCCGCTTGGTTGATGTTCAAATCTGGCAACAAACTTGCGCGCTTTCACGATCGTCGTGGGCAGATAGTTGGGGAGCCAATGACGTGTGTATATATTGGAAATTGAGTGGGAATCAAGTTGTACGAACGGAAGAACTTGGGAAGAACGAGAAGCGAGTCAGTGACGTCACTCGAGTGGCTGACCCAGCATAACCAAACAATACACATGCGTGGCGCTTATCTTGGTTCTTCACCACTTCCACCATCTCAGGCATCCCAGCGACAAATGTCTCTTTCCAATGTTAAATCCCAGGCCGCAGTGGATATAGAAAGACAACAGAGACGAGCACACAATGTTCGAAACGTCACCAAGCGTTTTCGCGTCCTCATCATTGGCCGCGCCAATGCGGGGAAGACAACCATCCTCCAGCGAGTTTGCAATACAACGGAACAGCCGAAAATTTTCAATCAGAAGGGTCATGAGGTATTACATGTTCTAGACATCATCATCTATCATTATTGATGTGAAAAAGATTGACTCGTCCAAGCTCGATCCAACTGCACAGGTAACATGGATCTACACTCTCTATTACATTTTACTGAAAGTGTGGCAGAGAGGGGAGCATGATATTGAGAATGAAATGATATTTGAGAGCAATGGGGCATTTGTCTTTCATGACTCATGTGGCTTTGAAGCAGGCAGAACATATGAGTTGGATAAAGTCAAGGAGTTTCTGCAAAAATGTTCAACCAACAAACGGCTCGAGGATCATCTGCATGTGATTTGGTGAGTGAATGAGATGTGACATTAAAGTTCATCTGAATACACCTGTGTAGGTACTGCATCCCAATCAATGATGAAGCCAGACCATTTACAAGAGCAGAGGTAACTTTCTTCGATGAGTGTGGGACTGGTAGAGGTGTGTCAATTGTTGTTAATCTCTTGAATTTCACCTTTTATTTTTATGCACAGTTCCTGTTATTGTCCTGTTTACAAAAGCAGATATTCTTGATGCCCAAACCATCAAACACCTGGTTGACACTGGAATGGATATTGAAGATGCTGCAAATAAAGCTCCAGAAGAGTCAGTTGCCATGTTTGAAAAGAGGTTTGGTCAGCAACTCTACAAGAAAAAGTATCCTCCCAAGGGTCATGTGTATTTTCGAGGTACAACAAACTCATTTACTTATACTCAATGGATTGATTGCATATCACAGGCATGCAAAAACCTACAAGTGACTGCAGTGAACTGCTGAGGAAGACAGCAGCCACCTTTTCAGATGATACACTCTTACAGCTGTTTCTTACAGTGCAGCAAAATAATGTGGCTCTGTCAATTGAATATGCAATTAAAAGGTAGTTGCTTTATTTTAAATTATATGCTGGTAAATTGCTGATTATCTAGAATAACAGAACTGTCTTTCCAGGTTGGAAGGTGTTCAAAGAAAAGGGAGAGTGGCAGAAGATGGTTGGGACGATGCTGAAGTATTTTCCACATATGGTATGTGGACCTTACTTGACTATACAGTGGTGGAACAAAATAATATATATGAACAGTTGGTAAGCCAACATCCAGTGGGTCTCAACTAGATGCTAATGGGATCATGCTTTTGTCATGACAGTGGGTGAGTCAGGATTTGGCTGGCCTTTCCTGTTTGTTGCTGATAAGAGCATGCTCTGGGTTTTGAACAGCTTGTAAGTCAGGATCTGGCTGGCCCTTCCTGCTTGTTGCTGACAAGAGCATGCTCTGGGTTTTGCACAGGGTGTAAGTCAGGATCTTGCTGGCCCTTCCTGCTTGTTGCTGACAAGAGCATGCTCTGGGTTTTGAACAGAGTGTAAGTCAGAATCTGGCTGGCCCTTCCTGCTTGTTGCTGACAAGAGCATGCTCTGGGTTTTGAACAGGATGTAAGTCAGGATCTGGCTGGCCCTTCCTGCTTGTTGCTGACAAGAGCATGCTCTGGGTTTTGAACAGGATGTAAGTCGGGATTTGGCTGGCCCTTCCTGCTTGTTGCTGACAAGAGCATGCTCTGGGTTTTGAACAGGCTGTAAGTCAGGATCTGGCTGGCCCTTCCTGCTTGTTGCTGACAAGAGCATGCTCTGGGTTTTGAACAGCATGTAAGTCAGGATCTGGCTGGCCCTTCCTGCTGGTTGCTGACAAGAGCATGCCTTGGGTTTTGAACAGGCTGTAAGTCAGGATCTGGCTGGCCCTTCCTGCCTGTTGCTGACAAGAGCATGCTCTGGGTTTTGAACAGGATGTAAGTCAGGATCTGGCTGGCCCTTCCTGCTTGTTGCTGACAAGAGCATGCTCTGGGTTTTGAACAGCATGTAAGTCAGGATCTGGCTGGCCCTTCCTGCTGGTTGCTGACAAGAGCATGCCTTGGGTTTTGAACAGCAAGTAAGTCAGGATCTGGCTGGCCCTTCCTGCTGGTTGCTGACAAGAGCATGCTCTGGGTTTTGAACAGGATGTAAGTCAGGATCTGGCTGGCCCTTCCTGCTTGTTGCTGACAAGAGCATGCTCTGGGTTTTGAACAGCATGTAAGTCAGGATCTGGCTGGCCCTTCCTGCTGGTTGCTGACAAGAGCATGCCTTGGGTTTTGAACAGCAAGTAAGTCAGGATCTGGCTGGCCCTTCCTGCTGGTTGCTGACAAGAGCATGCTCTGGGTTTTGAACAGTATGTAAGTCAGGATCTGGCTGGCCCTTCCTGCTAGTTGCTGACAAGAGCATGCCTCTGGGTTTTGAACAGCACGTAAGTCAGGATCTCGCTGGCCCTTCCTGCTGGTTGCTGACAAGAGCATGCCTTGGGTTTTGAACAGCTCGTAAGTCAGGATCTCGCTGGCCCTTCCTGCTGGTTGCTGACAAGAGCATGCTCTGGGTTTTGAACAGGCTGTAAGTCAGGATCTCGCTGGCCCTTCCTGCTTGTTGCTGACAAGAGCATGCTCTGGGTTTTGAACAGGATGTAAGTCAGGATCTGGCTGGCTCTTACTGCTTGTTGCTGACAAGAGCATCCCCTGGGTTTTGAACAGGATGTAAGTCAGGATCTGGCTGGCCCTTCCTGCTTGTTGCTGACAAGAGCATGCTCTGGGTTTTGAACAGTATGTAAGTCAGGATCTGGCTGGCCCTTCCTGCTTGTTGCTGACAAGAGCATGCTCTGGGTTTTAAACAGCCTGTAAGTCAGGATCTGGCTGGCCCTTCCTGCTTGTTGCTGACAAGAGCATGCTCTGGGTTTTGAACAGCTTGTAAGTCAGGATCTGGCTGGCCCTTCCTGCTTGTTGCTGACAAGAGCATGGCCTATATTTCAAACAGAGAGTAAGTCTCAGCTTTCTTCTCTTTTTGTTTTGCTAAGAAATGATGAGATTGTGAGTTCAGTTATAGAATTTTAAAAAATATTCATGAAACTCTACTTCTTCAAATAGCCTGTGAGTATTATATTTTTTCTTCCCATCTTTTTTCAGAACTAGTATTGACTGAACCAAATACTATTTTTAGGTGGAGGATGTCCTCAATCATACTGACTGGTCCTTGGTAAACCTTCACCACATAAATTCTATTCAATATTCTGACCACAACATAATTCTATGTAGATTCACAATACCAAATCCTTCAAGGACATTGCCTTTTTATGTATTGGTGTGTCTACTCTCGTTTATGACTACTCTATCATAACTGCTATTTTAATGCTCAGTGACTGCTATCCTTGCAGAGCACTCTTTCTTCCTGTGGAAAAAGAAACTTTCACAGTCCACTGCCCCCTACAAATTAGCCATGCAAAAGTTCAACTTGTCTGCTGATGTGGCAAAAATTCAAACTGCCATCAAGGAGGCATCTCATTTGAAAACTAAGGATGAAAAGAAAGAAGCCCTTGTAAAGATTGCTATGGACAATCGTCTTCGTGAGCTTCAATCTTCCAAATCTTCTAATGTCTTTTTCTCATTCATTTGGTTTTAGCTTTATAACAGTTTTGACCCAGCTTCCCAGAATTTGATAAATGCAGCACATGTCTCTAGTTGCTACCCATTATGATGCACCCTTCCCTTACTGTTCTCAAAAAACAGATTGTGTCATTTAAGCAAAAGAAAGACAAGGTAAATTCAAATGTTTTCAAGCCCTTGAGTTGCCTTCACATGTATGTGTAAGTTCAAAGAGTTGTTGGAGGGCCATGGGTAGAGAGGGGGTGGTATATCTCAATGTATATGATTTATGCATTCTCCAAATTCCATCAGAAAAAAACACAAAGCATACAGATACATATTCCAAATTGCAACGTATTCACAAAGAAAGAGGAGCTCTAAGTACCAACAATGGTAGAAGAAAAATACAGATAGAAGAAATGGAGGCTTAGCAATGAGGGAGGACTAGGGGTACCAGATAAAGCCAGAGGACAAAGGGGAGAGCGGCATCAAACTAGTACTCAAAAAGACATAGTCGAGTCAACCTCAATAGTCGGCACAATGCTCGCAATAAACTTGAGGAAAACAACCAAATAAAAATCAACCCTCATCCCCTCCACCTCCTCTTCCTCAGCCCCAGCTTGCAGCTGTTGAACATCCTTGGCACTCCCAGACAACTTTTGGCTGAAGGGCCATTTCTTCTCTTTCTTTGGGGTGTCCTTCCCCGAGGATTTACCATGCTGTGCAAGCTGTTCCTCAATGATGCTGTTGTTCCACTTCAGTCACCCATTTTAGGGTACCTCTCAGGTATATGAATTCTTGGATTTAAGGGTACCTCAATGGTACCCATTCCAGAGTGGTATGTGAGCACCATACCAATACCATGGTACCATGGAATGGAAAACTCATACCATATCCCACTCATACCAATACCAAGGTACCATACCATACCATGTCATGTTATACCATACCAGATGGTATGATACCATCATACCAAAGCTGTCACTGGGTGTCTGGGGTCCTTTTCCAAAATAAATAAATAAATTCTGCAGGCTGCAATACTGGTCCATTGGGTACCATTTTTTGTGGGGTGGTTCTCCATGTTTTTCTTGAGATATTGAGCTACAAATTGAGGCTAGATAGTCCAAACCATCTATGAAAATGAATTTAAATAGGCT